CTGGGAAAGCTGTGTGATCGCACCATCCAAGTTTGATTTAATGGAGACCTGGGGCCAGATTCACCAGTGTGCTTGATCCACTTTGCCCGTAAGCAGCACAAAGTGGATTTAAAAGGGCCAGAGATGGCCAGTGCAGAATTGCCCTGTGCAAGGAAACTTCCTGCCAATAGAAAGCTGGTGGAGAGACCTTACCTCCCCAATAGGCGGCACATGAGTCTTCCATTTGTGGAGACTTACATGCAAGCCCCTCCCCCACTCTGTTCCCTCCCCCGAAACCCCCCCTTGCCTGCCCCTCTCCCCCTCTTCCCACGAGGACCCCCCTTGCCCACCACTCGCTCCTCTCCACAGAGAGAAGCGAGCAGCTGGTGGGATGGCGCCATGGGGGAAGAGGCCGAGTGGGCAGTGCCTCCCCACGCTTCTAGGGATCTTCGCTTCCAGCGCTCCAAAGGTGGTGGGCTGGTGCACCTCCAAAGGGAGGTGACCCACACCGCATCTGTAGCATTTGCCCTCCTGCATGGTCAGCCTTATTTGGGGAAGCTTAGCCTCCCCAAGCCTCTTATATTCAACATCCATTACCCCCTCTGATTCCAGCCACTTCTCTGTCCCCAGCAGAGAAGCCGGCAGGATCATGAGGAAGCATAACTCCACTATGCCTGCTCCTCCACCGGCATACACTGGAGCTGCTCCCCTACAACTCGATCTGCCCCAGGGAGCAATGTCATCAGCTACTGAGGGTAATGCAATCTAAACTCTCACGCGATCTCCCATAGCAGCCTAACTTACATGCTGCACCAGAGGGGGGAGAGAATAGAACGCTGTGGTACCCTACACAGGAAAGACCTCACAACTAAAGCTAGAGCTGGGTGATTTTTTTTTTTGGCCAAAGAGTTTATTTACCAAAAACTGCAATATCGGCTGACCCAAAACTATTTGTGAATTTGACGTGACAACTATGCCCAAGGAAAAGTTTTTCAGGACCAGCAAACTATGTGAGCGTGCGACCTTTTATAACCTATATCCCAAAGGGTAGGAGGCTTGCCAGGCATGGGGGAGACCAGGTTTGATTCCCCACTCTGGAGCAGGTCCTAAAATTCTGGTCTCCTCACTGCCAGGGCTCTAACCACAAGGCCATTGGCTATTCTGGGATGGGTCGCTCTCAATTTCTCCTGTTGAAACTGCTGCATGTTTTATAAATATTTAAATATGCATTGTGCCAATGACCAACAGCAATGAGAACGACTCTACAGCCTGGAGACTAAGGCACTCGCCTGGGAGTTGTGGATTCAAATCCCTCCTCTGAACCAGGCAGAGAAGATGTGGACTTTTCCAATTGGCTGACAAATCACAAACATTTTCTGAACCAAACCAAGTATTTTCCCTGATCTTTTTGGTTCCCTGGCAGTACTAACAAAAAAAAAAAAGTCAATCTATTATTCACTCTACTCACAACAAACAAGAAATCACCTCACTGGGTCCTCTCTAAGTGAAAAACAGAGCAACTCAGATGTAATTCTCTGTACGAGAATCAGCAAGCATGCAATCTTTATCCATTGCCATAATGAGACTGTAGACCAAGGAAACCAGAACAGGATCTGTGCCATACCCACGCTTAAAGCCTTCAGGATGGTCAAGAAAAGTTGAGAATTTGGTGTAATGCCAGAGCTGCCTCACCACAACCTCATTAATAAATTTCTCTAAATAAGGAATGTTACCTATCTCCTTAGACAACCATAATTCAAAGACATTTATCTGTGCAGAGGGTATTTAATGAATCCATATTAATTTGCCAAAACTAAACAGGAGTATAGTTGCTTTGGAAAGTAATATGACCATTATGTACCACTGCAAGAACTAGCATCTTGAACCAATCAAGAGTAGAGAAAAAAGAGACAGGAACACCTGAGGAAAAGATCATCTGGATCTAATATCGTCCTTTACTATATGTCCCCCCACTCTGCAATTACAGATATCTGCTTGCAGAAGCAATATTTTACCATTTGCTTGTGTTTGTTTGTTTCACTATGACACTGATCAGATCCACAACTATATGCCCCTCAATTTACTGTATATTTGGACTGCCAAGGCGGTTTCAATAATATTCTGTTTTCCTGATACACAGTGGTGCTGCTAGAATAGAAAATCATGTTATCTTTAAAGATTTATAAAGATTCATCATTTAGCACTCTGCACCCCACTGAGGCAGGATATAAATATTCAAAATTTACCCTGCCCCCTGCTCAGCAAATGAATCGGATTTAGTTACATCTTATGATCCAATTTAGAAGTTATAGAATCAGCTATTTATATTAAATAAAACCACTCTTCCAATGGACAGCAAGGGAAAATAAATCATTTATCCTGTTAAGATTTGTTAGATAGTTTCCTCCCCGCCCCTTCTATTTTGTTCCATGCGATAGATGCTCAGGTACCTCGGTGACCTTGGTGGAATACAAACCTCACTGGAACAGAACAAACGTTAGTCTAATTCGAGTACACTAGGTGTGATACCAGTGGTTCAACTTTCCTTGATCTACAGAGTATATTCAGGAGGAGTTGGGAGTTTCAGTTTGATAATATTTCTATTACAGTTAATTATTCAAAAGTAAGAAAATAAAATGCAATATCTCCTATTAGTTATTTAGAAATAAATCCATCTGACCAAGTTTAAGGGATAGGGAGAGAAGGGTTAATTATCTATATTGGGTTGAAGACAAAATAAAAATAGGTTTTGCTTCTAGTCCAGAAATCTCCTGGTTACTATACATCCCATGTACAGACACAGCGCTTGGAAGATGTTTACAGCAATACAAAATCACCTCTCTGCCTTCAAGAAAAGGATTTTTCCATGTATTCAGATGAGGAGAAGACTGTTCTTTATACTTCTTAAATGCAAAAAGTGATCTGGTGGTCTGATTGTGGGCAACAGCATGGCCCTAGCAGACACAGGAGCTGATAAGGTTCTATTTTGGTCCTGCTCATAAGTCACAAACTCAGTATGTGATAGGTAACCACCAATAGTTACAGATGGGTCCAGCCAAAACCCCAATTTCAAACACACAAACTTCAGAGTTGTTCAGAAATCCTAACATGAATCTAAGTTTGACTTGTACAAATGGTTACAATCTTTAATCATAGAATCATAGAATATCAGGGTTGGAAGGGACCCCTGAAGGTCATCTAGTCCAACCCCCTGCTCGAAGCAGGACCAATTCCCAGTTAAATCATCCCAGCCAGGGCTTTGTCAAGCCTGACCTTAAAAACCTCTAAGGAAGGAGATTCTACCACCTCCCTAGGCAACGCATTCCAGTGTTTCACCACCCTCTTAGTGAAAAAGTTTTTCCTAATATCAAGTGGCCTGAATCAAAATCTCTGATCCAAGTATCTCCACAAAAACTGTGGTGTTGGAAACTTGGACCCAGATGTTGTGGACCGGGTCCATCACTACATACAAACTAAACTACCTCTGTATTTCAAACTCACCAAAACTTGGACTCAGCTGCCTGGCTTTCATATGACTATATACTTCTTCCAAAGTTTATGAGGTTTTGTAATCCTTGGAATACACACAAGGCTAGATTCTGATCACATTTTCATCAGTGTAAATCCAGAGTAACTGCACTGAAATCAACAGACTCCGGATTTTGGAGTTGAGAATCTTACTCAGAGAATTTACTAAAATTAAAATATTCTAATAGAAGAGGTTGGAATTATAGGTATCAACAATATCTACTAAGGTTGTATTACATCTGTACACACACAGTTTCTAGCCAAAATACGGTAGCTTGGATTAAACAAGTGGTGACATGAGTTTTTTTGCCCCCCTACAAAGGCCTTAGTACCTGAAAAAAGACAAATTTTATGAACACACAAAATTGGGGGGAGGGCGGGGACAAAAAAACTTCAGAACAAAAGACAGGTATGAGACAGGTAAGAATAAAGAAGAGTCCAACAGTGTAATAAGGATTCTAACATACGTTTAGCTTTCAAAACCATTGTGTGTGTCAGAACTCATTAGATGCATTAATCGCCTGCATTTCAATGACCCCATATAAAAAAGTGCGAAGAAGAAATCCTGAGGATTTTTTGTGTATTTTTGTTTTTATTTAATGTAGTTTATTTAAAAATTACGGTAATATAAAATCTAAAATATTTAGGACCCAACAGCATCCTAAAGCCGCTGGAATTTTATGCAATCTGGCACATTCAATTTGAACCACTTCAAGACTGATAATAGTTGCTTTGAAATTGACATGGTTCAGGCTGAAACCAGTCTTCAAAGAAAAACTTGCATTAAAAATCCTCAATCTCCGTTTATGTTCTGAGCCCATGGTATGTGTGTATTTCACAAGGAGTGCACACTCCAGCTTGCATTATTTAGTACTTAATAAAATTAACATTAGCTGCAGAAAATAGGATTTGAGATGACATTTCAGCCAAGAGATCTTTCCAAGACTGGAGAAGAGACCACAGCTAAGAAACCAATTCTGATCCTATTTTGTACCCCTCGCATTATTTGATTAACTTTCTAAACCTAGGTTAGCACACAACACATTAAGAGATGTGCAGAAAAATAGTAAATGAGAAAGAATATACTAGTCAGTTCATATAATTCCCCCCCTAAAATGCCTGTTGTCCATGATTGCAATGTGCTGACCAAATACATCTATTGTATTTATTTACTAAAGAAGGAAAATTCTCCAAGTAAGTAAAAGTAGAGTACAAAAATGAATTAAGTGCATCCTTTAAAGCAATTTCCTCTTCAACAGGGAGAGCAATCCCCTCTATGCAATTTATCTCTAGTAATTATTCATCCACCATTATTTATTAAACATTTTCAAATGGGAAAAATCAGAATTCTAAACCCCCAACCTTATGGAACAGAAGAGACTGTTAAGTTGTCACGAGGATTAAACTAACCCTTCCATCCAGGCTCCCTTTTGAGCATATTTGGGATACATCTTTTTAATATTAAAATACAGAACATTTTTTCTCTGACTTACGGTTGGTTGTTCTGCTTTGATCACTCTGAACGCTGTCATTTGACTGGTTGCTTGAGACAGAGGATACACTCGAGCTCCTGACAAAACCAAATGCTGCCAACTTAGCTGCTGGCAAGCGTGAATAGCCAGGAGGACGAAGTCCAGATTGACATGGCTTGGGGAGATTGGATTTTGCAGCATTTGGGCACGGGCCTTTTTTTAGATCAACTGAAAGAAGAAACAATTTGGTATTAAAACTAGGAAACCAGGACATGTCGCAGAGTACTTAAAATAAATCAATAAATTAATGTAATATGAAAATGAACATGAGTATTAAAAGCTGCCTAAACTGCATGGGTATCTTCGCCTTTCCTCAGCCAAATATACATTTAAAACAATTACAGGTACAGTTCACAATGGATTGCAAAAGGTGAAATACATTGAGAATCGGAATGTATGAAGTCAAAAATCCATCCAACTAATGGACTAACAAGCAAATAAAATCTTTTATAAGTGAGTTATTGTATTACTTTCCACCGTTAAATCCTGTTTTAGTTCTGCAAGCTAAAAAAATTATATATATATATATATATATGAATGATTTTGGAAGCTACATGGTAGAACGATTGTTTCAAAAATGGCAGCATAAAGCTGTATTCCCAAAAAGAAAAGGATTCTGTAAAAACCAGATAAAGTTGCTAAATGAAATCACCCACCCACTTAAACTCTTAAAAGAAAGGAAATGTCCACATCAGATTCCAAGACCAGAAAGGATCATTGTGATAATTTATTCTGACCTCCTATAACACAGGCCAGAGACGGTTCCAAAATAATTATCTTTCAGAAAAATATCAAATCCTAAATTAAAAATGGCCAGTGATGGAGAATCCACCATAACCCTTAGGAAGTTGTTCCAATGGTTAATTACATTAATTGGTAAAAAGTTATGCCTTATTTCCAGTCTGAATTTGTCTAGGTTCAACTTCCAGCCATTGGATCGTGTTATATCTTTCTTTCTTAGATTGAGGGGCCCCTTATTAAGTATTTATTCCCATGTAGGTACTTATAGACTGTAATCAACTCACCCCTTAACCTTCTCTTTGTCAAGCTAACGAGATTGAGCTCTTTCAGTCTATCACTATAAGGCAACTGTTCTAGTCCTTTAATCATTCTCATGGCTATTCTCTGAACATCTCCAATATATCAACAACCTTCTTTAACTGTAGACACCAGAACTGGACACAGGATTCCAGCAGCGGTTGTACCAGTGACAAATACAGAAGTAAAATAACTTCTCTACTACTCAAGAGTCCCCTGTTTATGCATCCAAGGATTGAATTAGCCCTTTTGGCCACAACATCACACTGGGAGCTCATGTTCAGCTGATTATTCACCATGACGGCCAAAGCTTTTTCAGAGTTGCTGCTTCCCCCACCCTGTAAGTATGGCCTACATTCTTTGTTCCTACCATTGTGTAAGTGTGACCTACACTTAAGGTATGCTTAGTTAGTACACCTTCACCCTTAATATCCCACATTCACCACTTCTACTGTCAGACTCCTCCCTGCTACAGAAGTTCAACCGAAGCAGATGATGTTTGGCTAAGTTATAAACTACTGAAAACTAGAGTTTAAAATGGAAAATATTAGGCAACCTCAGCAATAGAAATTGCCACCAGATCTACCTATAGTACCTCTGATAGCCGTTAACTGACCATTCTTCTCCACTCTACCTCTGACCTTATTATTAACTGCTATGGCTCAGCCAGACTTTTCTAGACAACTCAGGAATATCATTTCATAACTTTCCCAAATTATCTTCAACTAGGGATATATGATCCTCCAAAGGTTTGGAGTTTGAGTTTTGTTTGAAAAGCACAAAAAGTCTGGATGCTTAGCCCAATTAGATCTAAACTATGCAAGCCCCTTTAGTACACAAAATTTTGTTAGAAGGCTTGCAAGAACAGGTTTTCTTCTGAGTTTTCTGCTATTTCTTTCCTCCAGTTAGGCTACAAATACTGCAGTTCTCTCCTGATATTTTGGCACTTCTGGGTTTCCATCCCTGTTGGAATCCAGGTGTGCAAAGACGTACAAAGGTGACAAAGAAGAAAAAATAAATAAAAACCAAAATTTTCCAAAACTTTCTGAAAAATTGGGTTCTAGAAATGTGGAAAGATTCAGAGTCTGCATGGGGGTAAGAAAGTTACGATTTTTTTGAACCTATCCCTACTTTCATCTGCCCTGGAAGTTCTTCAACAAAGTAGTGGGATGTTTAAAAGCCAGCAAGGTTATACGTTTATTCAGTCAAACTCCTCTCCCCACTTTGTGAAAACAATTTACACATTAGAATTGAAGAATATTTCAAATTAAGTGTATATTCATAATTGTATAGGGGAAATGGGAATTAACTGCATAGAAACAAATACAGCATTCGTATTATCACAATATTTAAATCCACCGTAAATTATGTAGGTCATAGCCTTATTATGTTTAATTAGGGATTACTGTTTGACAAGACTCTACGGAAAACAAAAGTAACTATCTGTCTGAACAGAAAAATAGTTTTAAATAATACTGGAATTTGACATATACTTGCGAATTTCAGCACAATAATACTAACCAGATATTTTTTAAAAGAAAACAATATATGTAACAGAAATGCAAAAAAATCCCCAATCTGTTTTTTTAAATGATTTTCCTTTAAAGTACTTGACATAAGAGTAAAAGATTATCCACTAAGCCAACAATGGGATTTACATGGTAATCCCTTATAACTGTACTTAGAAAAACATTTAATAACTTCTCAGGATTTTAGATAAGTACTAACATTTAAGAAGCCAGGTGTTTGAGTGTAAAGTTTTTCACAGGCCATCAGATGACAATGGGCACACATGCACAAAAAAGATTTTTGCTTTTACACTTCTGCATTATTTTGTTAACAAGTGTATTTTACGTGAGCTCTACTTTCTCATCTTTTTGCCTCCGAATTATTACACAAAAATACAGCACAAATTCTTTCATGCATTTTCTAGTGTTTGATCTGACATGTGGCAACAACTATTACTTGACTTAAACAAAGGAAAAAAACTGGGGAAAAAACGGGGGGGCCCTCAGTTACTAGCTTACCTACACTGTTCCTCCATGGTGCTATGACCATGACCTGGAGGGACCACCCCTAGAAACTGAGAGGATAATTTGGTCTCTTTTGACCATTAAATCCTTTGAGTCTGATTTTCCCTTGCCTTGCATCATGTGTAGGTGCCATTTAGACCTGTGTAAAATGAGCTTGAGACACCTCTCTAGGTGCTGGCCTGCCTCCCCAGCCCATGAAGGACTTGCTGCCATGTCCCAAGTCTGTTTTATTCTTCAAACATAAAACTTCAGCCAAAAAAAAAAATATCTAAACAACACAGTTCTTCTTCCCAGCATGGGCTACAACTCCCCAAGGCTTTTCTCCTCGTCTCTCTCAGTGCTAAAAGGTGGACACACCACATCCCACCCCACCCTTCCGTTTCAGGGTCTACTGCAGGAACCCTCTCCCTCCTGCAACTCCTCTCTCAACTGAGCCACTTACCGGCTTTTATAATTACTTGACCCCTTTCCAGATGGGGCTTATATCTGCCCAGGGCTAGCAGGCCCCAGGGCCCCTGACCCTTAAAGGGCAGACTACCCTGTTACAACTACCAAACGTGAATTCTTCACTCACACAACATGTGGGACTTTACACTCACTTTACATGGAAATGACTACACAAGGGACAAGGCACTGGAGAACTGGGTCTTGATATTTTCCTGTCACTGCCAACAAGGTTGGCAATGAATGCAAATCATGTTGGTTGTTTTTATTTATTCTCTTTCAATTAAGAACACTAAAAAGTGCCCAAAACACAGGCTCCATGCACCCCACCAGTTATTTAAAATTGAAATGTGTATTTGGTTTTGTAAACAGCAACAATCCATACAAATACTAAGACCTTCATGCATTGGCCAATATTTCAAAGGCCAGGCAAAACAAATGGGCCTCTGCAATGTGGACATTTGAGTAATGGGTTCAGGAATGCAATCACCAACTCATTTCCTGTAAGCCAATGAACAAATGATGACTGTTACAGGTAAAACATAAATAGCTTTCAAGCACAACTTTCTTGCCTTACAGTTCAAGTACTAAGGCTTGGATTCACAAAGGGATTTAGGCCTTGTGACACTACATCACAAGATCTAACCTTTACATGCCTAGAAAATTACAGCAATTCACAAAGAGTTTGTCTCCCTATACAACGAATAGGGGAAAGACAGATTCCTTAGATTGCACTCCACAAAAGAAGCTACCTAAGTTAGCCAATGGGAGATGCCAACAAGAGGGGTGTGTGCTACGTCCCATCTCTCAGAGACAGGTACCTAAATTTGGATTGCAAGTGTTTGCTTATCTCTGCTAGTGATCCACGAACAGGGGAAGACAAATGTTCCTCCACCTTAGTCACATGCAAGGCCCAATCCAGTAGTGTGCTCAGAGGCTGCCTAACTCAGAGGCTGCAAAACAGCTAGAGGAGAGCCTCCCTTTAGCCCAGTGGTTAGGGTACTCATGTGGGACACGGGAAACATCTAGTTCAAATCCCCTCTTTGCCTGATGAGGACAAGAGATTTGAACCACCTCTTGGTTGAGTACCTTAACCACTGGACTATGGGAGGTAGATCTTCCTCAATCTCTCTTACTGAAGTTTTTTCACTTTAATTAAATATTAGTTGGTCTAGTAAAGAGTGAGAATTACTCTGAAACCCAGCATTTAGAGCAGGAGGGTCAGACACGGAAAGGGACAGCATCCATACTTTGTTAGGTACCAATATTGGTACCAAAGATGGTAGAGGGTAGAGAACAGTGCCTTGATGGAGATCTTGTAACACAGTGCCATGGAGAGAAGCCCTGGATTCTGTTTATTCTTGGCTGGCAGCACAAAGATGTTTCCCTGATGGGAACCTCTATGGGAAAAAGTTCTCCGGCTCCAACGCACTGGTGTGCAGACACCTGAAGTGGAACGGACACATGCAAGCACTCCAAGAAGAATTAAGTTATTTTAATGAGCAGCTTTCCTTTTAATAAAAATCTGCCAAAATAAGCTAACAAAAACTGTCAAAAAATTTTCCAGCTGTCTACCTGCTTGAAGCTAATTATAGAATTAAGAATTGTTGCCTGTACATTACATGAGTCAGTTTCTGTGAGACTTCAGCTGTT